TTTTCTAAAATAAATTTTTAGTATAAAAATTTTAATTCAAAATATTTGTGCACTTAAAAAATTGTTTAAAAAAGTAGTAAGAAAGAGTTTGGGACAGCTTTCTTATTATATTCTTGATACGTCATGCGAAATATTCCAGGACGCAACAATTCTAAAGTAATTTTGTTAGTATAAAAATTTTTTTATTTAAGAAATTTTTATATCAAAAAATTACTTTAGAAAACATTAAGAAAGATCAAATATGCAGAAATAACTAAGGTATTATTTTTTATGTTTTAAGTGTCATGTATATAAGTAATAAAATTTAAAAGTTATATATATATATTTTTTAATATTTTCAATGCTGTAGATGTAGATCAGATCACCACAATTTTTTGGTCGATGCATCCAAGCAGAAAAAAAAAATCCAATTTTTTTGTATCTCCATCATCGCACGTGCCAAGTTCGCCCTAAGTACATTTCCATGGGCCTCACATGGAACCAGACCTCTCTTCCTCGTCTACTCATTCCCCGCTCTACACCTCCCTCCTCGCCGCCGGCCACCGCATCCGCCCCCTCACCCAAATCCACGCCCGCATCATCATCTCTACTCTCCAACCTAACCGTTCCCTCCTCACCAAACTCCTCACCCTCATCATCATTCCCCGCTCTACACCTCCCTCCTCGCCGCCGGCCACCGCATCCGCCCCCTCACCCAAATCCACGCCCGCATCATCATCTCTACTCTCCAACCTAACCGTTCCCTCCTCACCAAACTCCTCACCCTCATCATCTCCTCCGGCTTCCCTCTCTACGCCCGCCGCCTCCTCCCTTCCGTCCCAAGCCCTGACACCTTCCTCTTCGACTCCCTCATCCGCGCCTCCTCTCGCTCCACCCTCCCTCTCCACTCCCTTCATTTCTACCTCCTCATGCTCTCCTCTTCCCTCCGCCCTTCCAACTACACCTTCACTTCTCTTCTCAAAGCGTGCGCCGACCTCTCCGCCTTCAACCTCGGCCGAATACTTCATTTACATGTCCTTGCCGAGGGCTTCGACCTGGACCGCTTCGTACAGACCTCCCTGGTTGTGTTTTACGCGAAAGTCGGTAACCTGGCCGTTGCACGCAAGGTGTTCGATAGAATGCCTGAGAGAAGTGTGGTTGTATGGAATGCGATGATCTCTGGTTATGAGCAAAATGGGCGTGCTGGCGCGGCGATCAAGTTGTTTTATTTGATGCAAGAGGAGGGAATGGAGCCGGATGAGGCTACTCTAGCCATTCTTCTTTCTGCTTGTTCCCAAGTTGGCGAGTTTGGTTTGGGCAAGTGGGTTCATGAGCATTATATCAATGGCAAGAATTTGCGTCTTGGTGTAATTCTTGGTTCTTCTTTGGTGAACATGTATGCTCGATGTGGCCATGTGGAGAAGGCTCGAGAGGTATTCGATGGGCTTGAAGAACATAATGTTGTTTCTTGGACTGCCATTATTGCTGGCTATGGAATGCATGGATTTGCAGAGCAAGCTATGGAGCTTTTCAAAAGAATGAAGATTTATGGCCCCTCGCCAAACCTCGTCACCTTCGTGGCTGTTCTGTCTGCCTGCGCTCATGGAGGGATGGTCGAGCAGGGCCGGGAGGCTTTCGAGTCCATGAAATTTGATTATGGTTTGATTCCAAGAGCTGAGCATCATGTCTGCATGGTTGATCTCTATGGCAGAGCTGGCTTGCTTGCTGAAGCCATGCAATTCATAAGGGATCAAATAACAGGAGAGCCTGGAGCTGCAGTTTGGACTGCACTGCTCGGGGCTTGCAAGCTGCACAAAGATTTCGACCGGGCGGCTCAAATCGCCACAAAGCTTCTGGCTTTAGAACCTGAGAATCCAAGCCACTATGTTCTTCTTTCGAATATTCACGCATTGGCTGGGAAGATGGATACAGTGGAAGAGATCAGAGAAGTCATGATTTCCAGAGGATGGAGGAAGCAGACTGGATATAGCTTGATAGAGATCAACAATGTCTCCTACATCTTTCGAATGGGCGACAAATCAAATCCCCAAACGGTTGAAATCTATCAATATCTGGAGGAGTTGATTTGCAGAATAAGGGAAGCTGGTTATGAGCCAATGACTGACTCTGTGCTTCATGAATTGGAGGAAGAGGAGAGGGAGGTGGCGATTAGATTCCACAGTGAGAAGCTGGCTGTGGCTTTTGGCTTGTTGAGCACTGGTTCAGGAACTTTGATTCGGATTGTGAAGAATCTGCGCATTTGTGGTGATTGCCATTTGGCTATCAAGTTCATATCAGGAGTGACTGGAAGGGAAATTATTGTCAGAGATAAACACAGGTTCCATCATTTTAGAGATGGTCTTTGTTCTTGCCAAGATTACTGGTAATAATCCCTTCCAAGATTGTTTATTTTGATGTCTTAGTAGATTAAAATCCATGATTAAATAATATAAGAAATCAAATAAAATTATTTAATTAAGGTTTAAATTATTGGCAATATGAGATTTAAATTAAGAAATATATCAAATAAAATTTGGCTAGAAAAGTAAGAATGAAAAAATATATAGAAATTAAGAAAAAAAATGAATTTCAATGTTAGAGGAGAAAATATATGAAAAGATATTTTAATAAAATACAAATAATTAAACATGCATTATCATAAAAATAATACTTTGAATTTAATGGGATTGAAATCAAGATTGGAATTAAAATGCACAAAAAAAATATAATTCAGTAATCAGCAAATGAAATAAAAAAATTCAAATGGCACATTAAAAAAGTAAAATTGAAAACATTTCTGAAAATAGTTTCATTTTTTAAAAAAATTTTACACACAAATTTTAAATAATATTTAGAGAATAAAAATGTTTTTTGATAAAATTTTAGAAAGCATAAATTTAATTTTAGCACATGAGATTATTTAATAGCTTATTGTTTAAAAAATGTAAGATACAAACTATATGGAGTCTAGACGCAACTTTACATCTGGACTCCAATTAGGTGGAGGCACGTAGCTTTTTTCTTTTGAATTCTTTCTTGTGTACAAGAAAGGGAAGAAAAGCCATGTGACTCCACCTGATTGGAGTCCAGAACGAAATTTGGACTTCGCACGTAATAATTTTTTCTAGACCTTAAGAAATAATTGACCTTCAATAGTTTTTAAATATATATTCAAAGCTCTACTGTACTCATCTTTATCTATCTAAGGTGATTTTACAATTATTTTATTCATCAATAAGAATTGTTTACAACATAGGCTATTATTGTGCTTTTTTTTAGACATTTATGCCTATTAAGGTAAACTCGCACATATATAATATACATAAGCTTCTGAGCCAAAACTATTTGACTGATAGTCAAAACTTTCAACTAATAGATCAAGATGAGCTACGTGCAATCCTTAAATTGAATTTGTAATGATTTCAATCTACTTAAAATTCTTAATTTAACACATTAGAAAGTGCAATAATGTATTTATTATCATCAAAATTACCTTGTGACTCATGAGACTAACATTTTATATATTGTTGTTTTGTTTGATGTAATTAAATTTTATTATTGATTTTTAACTTTACAAATATTTTCTAGTGCAATATAATTCTTAAATTTATTAGCTTTAGATTTATTTTTTCTTCATGTCCCCATTTTATTTATTTATTTTTTAAACTATTCATTTTCTCTATTCTTATATAATTTATTGATTATTTTTAATTAAGTTTCAAATTATTTTGCTTTTAGATGCATCCTCTTAGATCAATTATATTTTAAATAAAGAATTTAAAATCTTGAATAATTCTAATTTTTATAATTTTCATAACAATTAATAATCACCATAAATTGCTTATGAACTACAATTTTAAAATCAATTCTCAAAATTATTATTATTATGATCATTGTTGATTATAATTATTTATAACGATGAATTTCTTAAATTTATCTCTTTGTAAAAATTAAGTAAATAATAAGTGTTAAAAAACTTTAATAAAATTTTATGATTTTGATACATCGTCGAAAATTGTCTTGATCGGACGCAAATCGTGATACATATATGAGTTGGAATTTTCAAAATTAAATTTGGGATAATAAAAACTTCAATTTCAACAAACTTATAAGCAAATTGAGCATCTTAATGTGACAAACCAAAAGACACTCAAATCAGTTCAATCCGAGCTCAAATGGGCACAAATCAAAAGGCCGAAGCATTTTTGAAAAGTTCAAAGCATTAATTGGATGATCAAGTGATCTCTAAATATGACATGCTTATAGTTCAATTGAGCGGCTCAACGAGATTAATCGAATGAGCCCAAGTTCGCTTATTTTTTACAACATTAAGGCACATAAATGTTTAAAAAATGCTCTATGATTGAGGTAATCAGTATGGACCATTCGATGGAGCTCTCCAATTCTATCTTGGATCTTCTCTATATCTACAGGGCATATCATTCATAAAAATATAAAGATATACCCACACTCTCTATACGAGGGGGGTATTTTGCTGGAGATTGGAGAGAGTTATAAGGCTTCGAGGATCTTATAGCTTTACCCAAGCACCACCGCAATGGAGATTCTGCCGACCACCATTGGACTACGCCTACTCATCGACCATCGTTCGGCCACCGACCATCGTCATACCACCGACCACCGTCGGACCACCTCCTGTTTGTCGGATTTATATCGTGCTATCGTTGGATTACTACCAAATCACCTACGGTCACCAAACCACCGCCTGTTCACTGATCTCTATTGGACTTTCGTCCAATCACCTTCATGTCACTACTTCGCAACCAACCGGTATTGGACCATTTCCCAACTGCCAAATGTCACTTGAACATCTCCGGTCTACTAATCTTCATGTTGACCTCATTTTTGTATGAGGTCACTAGGATTAATCTTGACCCTAGATCAATCCAAAACCCATATCAATCCAAACTTTAGATCAATCTAGACTCTAGATCAATCCAAACCTCAAATCAATCCTGTTCTCAGATAAAACCAAATGTTTGGTCAATCCAGACTTTAAACCAATCTTGACTTCTAACCAACCTAATCTTCAAGATTAGATTTCAAGCAAAATTTTTAATCCAGCCTCTAATCAAGCTTCAATCATATTTATTCATTAGCATTCATCTTGTTGATTGTTATTAATATGAATATTTCAAACTTAAGCAATTAAATCTAAAACCCAGCTTAAATCTAGAAATTCAAACCAAAATCCAAGGTAAAGGGCTAAGTCCTGAAAGCCCTTTATCTCCCTATTTGCTTGTTCTGGTAGGCCACATGACCTATTAGGATGCAAGTCCTGTTAAGGGGAAGTTTTGTAATCCCTAGAAAAAAAAAATTTAAGCTTGATTTTAAAACTATTTCATATTTGATTTAAACATTTATCGAGTCAACTTGCATGCATCACATTAGAAATAAATTTAAAAGTGTCTACAAATTTAAATGCATTTTATTTCAAACTTCAAATTACCCTATATAAGTTAAGGGGACATTTAGGATATGCTCTAAATGTTGGCCCCAACTCCTTAAATCTTAATTAAATGTCCCTACCACTCTTTCATAAATAATCTGACTCATTGTTTTAAAGTGATTAGGTGATTAACTAGCTTGTCAATCCAAGCCAGGGTAAGTCCATATTTGCATTATATTAGCTAGGTTTGGTCTACTGATTTTTAGTGCCCAATTAAAACTTTGGTTCTAAGGCAAGTTCAGACTATAAGACTCAACCTTATGGGAGAATAATCACAACAGTCTAATAAGACTAACAATTTAAACTAAAACTTCTCCTCAATACAAAATTTAAGCCTCACACTTATGATTGGTTAGGGTGCTTCTAAAATGTTTTAGAATCAAAAAGCACCTACTACCTTTCATCCTTTGATCTCAAAAAATAAGTGCTCAATTTTGATTCATTTCTATTTAAAATTCCAGCTTCAATCCTTTAATATTACTCATTGAAAATTCTAGATATAATTTTTATCATTATTTTAATATAGAATATTCGTAGGAAACTTAAGTTTTCCTACAATGTAATTAATAATGAGGGCTTGCGCTCATAGGAGCTTTAGAAATCGAAATCAAATTTTTAAAAAATCAATCTTTCACATTTCAATTAATCCTCTTTGCAAAAATCAAATTCAACAATCATTATCGTCATATAAAATGACTGATTCTGAATGATATTTTCTTTCTTAGGGAAGATATATCATTCTATTATCATGATTTTAATTATAAAATTAATGATTCCATATCCAGATTATTATAATCAAACACTCGATCAAATATTTCTTTAACCCTCTAGGGTCTTATTTGGTTTTTTCTTGAGTTTGACTATGATAATCATGATGAACTTATAGTTTTGTAATCTAAACCTATTATGGAATAATATTTTCACCTCCCAATATGATATATTATTCATAATAAAGTGTTCGATTTTAAAACTAAAAGTTCAAAAATTAAACTCTACCAAAAATAAATTAATCACAAACCCCAACTTTTATAACTCAAACATTTCAGCAGACTTCTGATGATAGTGGTGGAGTAACCTAAAGAATTGTGAAAATAATTTAGAGTTCTATTAATTCTTAAATAATGCTTAGGTTATTTTTTATATACAAATTATAAAAATCTCACTTAATATACACAAGTATACACATCGAATCAAGTAATATAGTGATAAAGTAGAGTATATATCGATCTTACGAGGAAGAATGTTTATTTATAAATATTAGTATTGTCTACTTCATCTGCAATAATTAGCCTATTCAATAAAATAAGTTTTGGTTCAGATTTAATTACTTAATTTAAAATAAAAATATTTAAATGAAGCATTATTTGGATAAATTATTTTAGATTGATGGAATATAAATACAATATATTTTCAAATGATTCTCTTTTATATTTATGTTATTCAGAGCATATGTATCACTGACTGCTTAGTCAAGTGTGAAGCAATAATGGACAGATTAAATATTCCAACCACAATACCACTCTAAGGGGCTGTTTGGTATGCGAATTTAGGCGGATTTAAGGCCGGATTTGGGCGAAATCCAGCCAAACGGCCTAAAATGCAAATCTAAATCTCAAGGCAAACGAAATCCTTCGTGGACGGAAAATTCCGCCGATTCGCTCTAAATCCCGGATTTCCGAAATCCTTTGGTTCGGCGGATTTACGTGATTTGGCCGAAGAAGCGCGCGAAAGGGAGAAAGTTACCTTCATAGCAAGCGAGCGATC